TATTTGTAGTCTTTGGGAAAAATGAAGAGTTACTGTATTGGCATCAGGCACTAGTTATTTCATTACTTTTTTTAGAAGAATAAACTATGGAGAATGAGATATTAATTCTATTTTTGTATTAGTCAATTCAATTTTGATGATATTACTCTGTGTTGGCAAATTTCCAACTCACATTCTTTTACATATGTTTAATGCTATATATCATATACATGAATCCCTTTTGTTTGTAATTGGAATCATCTATCAAACATTGATCGCATCATCTGACTTCAATGATATGAGATTCAAAGCTTTGCAACAATAACATATTGAATCACAAGAGTAGTGACAGAGCTAGGCTGAGAACTAGAAACATTCTCAACCAGCATATGTGAACCTATTTAAGTTAGTTCCTTGGTTTCCTCAGGCATAGCTGCACTAACTCCAAGACAGGCTCGAATTAAGTGAACTGAGGAGCCAGAGTAGAGGAAACAATCACTTAATGAATAGCTCAATGCCAAGGCATTAACTAGTAGGAGTGATATTAATTATAGTTTTAAACACACTAAAGACAATGTAGTAGTCATTTCATCTAGAGAGGTTTAAGAGACATGATAGTGATGAGTGATACAGAGATAAATAAATATTTTTCTTACATAATTATGCTAGTTAATAAAAAATCATATCACATACTAAGTAAATCAATTATGCTAGTTAATAAAAAATCATATCACATACTAAGTAAATCATTATTCGTCTCAACTAATATGGTTGTGATTGTGGTTGTGATTGTGGTTGTGAATGTGATTCCTCATTTGGTGGTTGCTCTTTGGTATTTTTTGAATCATCATCATCATCATCAGAAGTATTTGAGCTTTGGTACACTTATTGATTTGGGTAATGGGTTTGAACTTCCCACATCCATGAGTTCCTGCCAAAATTATTCTATTATTGATTGATTTGAGAGAGCAATGTATTTCTTGAATCTATCATAATCTATCAAGAGCATTGTAGAAACTTTTGGTTTCTTCATTAATATGCTTCATACTAGATATGCTTTTAGTATGCTTGATAGTACTAATTTAGATTGCACCACCGGGATGCAATCATTAATGGTTATGCATGCATAAATAGCCTTAGACCCGTCCAAGAATCTTCATTAGAGATACCTAGTCATCTTTGATGAAGCTCTTCTTGGATTGTCCAGTTTGGACAGTTCAGGAGCACAAGTTTGTATTGTAATTAGTAGTTCTACTGTTTATAGTCCATCTCGTAGAGATTTCGTGTAGCAACTCCTTATGTTCTCCAAGTGCATACTAGACAAGGTGTAACAGTACACCTAATCTATGTCGTGTATTTGGAGAACCATGGGGAGATGCAGCCGAAATTTCGTTAGAGATGAACAGAGCGGTATGAACTGCTTTTTACAATATAGACCGTGCATTCCTGAATGGGAAAGTAGGATGAACCAACATATTAGAGACCAGTTAGAGGTGAATGATGTCATATCACATGCATTATAAGGTACTTAATTGAGGTTAAGATTAATTAAAATGGAACAGTAATTTTGAACTTTGTTGATTTGGCAGTGACAGTTGTAGTGTAAGACAAAGTCAGATGGATAAAAGTTGGATAAATCAGCATAGGTTGCACCCAGAATACATACAAGAGGTTAAGGAATTTATTAAATTTGCATGCGAAAATAAGCCGTTATTGAATGAAGTCACATGCCCATGTAAACAGTGTCGTAATGTCAAATTGATGGAGAAAGGCTTGTTAGGGGAACATTTAATATCAACGGGTTTCTTCCAAGTTACACCAGTTGGATTTTTCATGGGGAAAATTTGTCATCGCCTGTGCCACACAATGTGAATGTCGGGAAAACTGATTCGAATGATGGTGATGAAACTTATGAAATGCTATTCGAAGGATTTGGACTTCCTCCACCAAGCTTTGTTCATGAGGCAGCAAGTTCTAGTATTAAACAAGATCCAGATGAGAAAATCGAAAAATTCTTCAATTTATTGAAAGTGGTCGAACGAGAGTTGTATCCTGAGTGTCATAAGTTTTCAACGCTCTCATTTATTGTTCGGTTATTGCACATCAAGTGCCTTAGTGGATGGAGTGACAAGTCTTTCACGATGTTGCTCGAGCTTTTGAAGGATTCGTTCCTAAAGGGTGAAACTTTGCCAAAGTCATTTTATGCAACTAGGAAACTCCTTAGGGACTTGGGCCTAGATTATCATAAAGTACATGCATGCCCAAGGGATTGTTCACTATATTGGAAGGAAACAGCCAGTATGGATGATTGCATAGTGTGTCATATGCTTATATACAAACAGTTTGGGGGGGAGGAGAATGATGTTAAGAAGAAGCAACAAAGAATTTCACAGAAGATTGTTAGATACTTTCCATTGATTCCTAGGCTTCAAAGATTGTTTATGTCATCCAAAACATCTTCTTTAATGAGATGACATGCAGAGGGCCGAATTGATGACGGCAAAATGAGACATCCCGTTGACTCTCCAGTTTGGAAAAATTTTCATAATTTGTATCCTAAGTTTGCGAGTGAGCCTCACAATGTCAGACTGGGTTTAGCAGCAGATGGATTCAATCCATTTAAGGCAATGAATGTCTCTCATAGCAGTTGGCCAGTTATTATGATGCCATACAATTTGCCACCATGGTTGTGCATAAAGCAGCCTCATATGATGATGACATTGCTCATCGATGGTCCTTCTTCACCTGGAAATAACATTGACGTCTACTTACGCCTTGTAGTGGATGAATTGAAAGAATTATGGGAAAACGGTGTTGACACGTATGATGCGGAAACTAATCAGATGTTCCGAATGCATGTTGTTTTATTATGGACTATAAATGATTTTCCTGCCTATGCAATTTTGTCTGGATGGAGCATGAAAGGCGTTTTAGCTTGTCCTTGTTGTAACACACATACTCAATCTCGATATTTGAAGAACGGAAGGAAATTATGTTACATGGGGCATCGTCGCTGGTTGAATGGGGGTCACAAATTTCGGAAAGCTAGTGCGTCTTTTGATGGCACTCGTGAATTTGAACCATGTCCAACTCGGTTATCAGGGGCTAATGTGCTACAACAACTAGGCCCTAAGTTCAAATTGAATTCTAAGCGTCAACAATCTAGCAAACGGAATAGAAAGGGAAAAGAAAAGGAGGAAAATGAAGACTCAGGTCATAATTGGAAGAAGAAGAGTATTTTCTTTTAGCTGTCATATTGGGAGCATAATTTGATTCGCCACAATCTTGATGTGATGCACATTGAAAAGAACGTGTGTGATAATGTATTGTGGACAATATTAAATGTTGATGGGAAAGGGAAGGACAATTTAAACACTCGTCGAGATTTGCAAGATATGGGAATTTGAAAGGCACTACATCCTCAGAAAAGGGTTGGGAACAAGTATTATTTGCCTCCTGCATGTTTTTCCATGAACAATAAAGAGAAAAGTTTATTCTGAACACTTCTAAAGAATATCAAAGTTCCAGATGGTTATGCATCCAATATCTCTCGTCGGGTTAACCTCAAACAGCGTAGCATATTTGGACTGAAAAGTCATGATAACCGTATACTCATCCAACAAATACTTCCAATAGCAGTGAGAAATTTGTTACCGAAGAAAGTGGTTGAACCATTAATTGAGTTAAGCAATTTCTTCAAGCAGTTGTGCTTCAAAACCCTAGATGTGGATGGTCTAAATCGTCTTCAGTCCCAAATTGCTCTTACACTTTTCCATCTTGAGAGAATTTTTCCCCCATCATTTTTCGATATAATGGAGCACTTACCCATTCACCTAGCAGAGGAAGCAAAGATTGCCGGTCCGGTGCAATATCGATGGATGTACTTTGTAGAAAGGTGTGTAATTCTACTCCAAAGTCATGTATGCATCTTTTTGTTTATAGGTACCTTATGACACTTAAATCATACATGCGTAATCGAAGTCATCCCGAAGGTTCAATTGCACAGGGATACTTAGTCGAAGAATGTATGACATTTTGCTCAAGGTACTTGCATGATGTTGAGTCGAAATTGCATCGACGGTTAAGGAATTGTGATGTTAGCGACAATCCTCAGATATTAATGGGGCGAGCTTTAGGAAAAGGAAAAGGGTTTGTGCTTGATAACACAACATGGGTATAGGCTCATCGGTATGTGTTATTTAACATCGTTGTGGTTGTCCCATATCGAGAGTAAGATAGACGCAACCTTTGTCTCATCGTGAATGTATTTATACCAACTATAATTATTTTGCATTTTACAAGTAGTTTAAATGTGTAGGAAACATCGTGAATTTATTAAGCGGTCACATCGTCATCTCAGAGATTATGATGTGGATCGTCGTCACAATGATGAGTTTCCCAAATGATTCAATTCTCATGTAAGTGCATGTCAAGCACAACAAGTCTTTTATATTTTTGTAATACATGTGTTTCTATATTTTTGAAGTTGTTAATTGATGTTTAATATTGATAACTTTCTTTTAAAAATAGGTTGCAGAGCTGTTAGCTACTGAAAATGTAGCGTTGTTAGATGAGATTAAAATTTTGGCTTTGGGACCCAGCCAAAAGGCCACCAGATTTAATGGGTATATAATTAATGGTACTAGATATCATACTAGGAGTCGTGAGTTGAGAAGAAAAACTCAGAATAATGGGGTTATGGTGAAGGCAAAGACTTCTAGCTATGCAAGTGCGAAAGACATTAATCCAGTGGAAGGTGATGTAGCGTACTATGGATATGTGACAGATATTATTGAACTGTATTACTCACATGACCATAGATACATGTTATTCATGTGCAACTGGATTGATAACAATAAGGGACTCAAGCAGGATGATTTTGGTTTTACACTTGTTAATTTCAATCACTTGTTATATGCGAACAAACAGGACAGTGATGAGCCATTCATCCTAGCATCTCAAGCACAACAAGTCTTTTATGTTAATGATTATGTTGATGAATATTGGAATGTTGTACTCAAGATGAAACCTAGAGACTTGTATGAGGTGTGTGGAGAACAACCAACTATTGATAAAGGACTACATCACAACGAAGTGAAAGGATTTGGTGATCAAGAGTTAGATGTAGCTTCCTACACTTGTGAGGAGGACATGGATTGGGTTAGGCAAGGTATTGATGGAACAACTGTTTATGAAACTATTGGACCTTTTGAAGCATCGACAGAGGCACCATTTGAAGATGACGAAGAAATGATATGACATTGTAATTGGTTGCATATTCACTTTTACATTTGTGTTTTCTGTAAGGATATTCATGTTAATAAAATCTTTGCTTTTATACCTTTGTAGTTTTCTTTAAATGGCCATTTTTACCTTTCATGTACTCTTATTTTGTTTTGAATGCAGTTTCTTTATTATCATGTCCTTACTTTTATGTTTGTAGTTTCTTTATAGATTATCTATGAGTTCTAGCTCCGAGAGTTCTTCTAGTGAGAGTGAGCAATCAAGCTCTAATAGTTCTAGTTCAGATGAGACTCATGCCACACTTAAGATGAGAGTCATACTCGATCCACCGGCATCATGGCATGCACCAAGTAGTCTTCCTCCACATCACGTAGTGGTAGTACATTACATGGATCAGT